GTAGAAATTAGGCTGTATTTTCTGTAATGTCAACATAATACCTTAGGTTTTCCCAGATATTTATTCTGTATAATAAGTATCTCCTGTCATTCCAACTTTGTGAACATTCGCAAAAAATACTTTTTACTTACAGTAGTCAGTCTACTTTTATTATCATCCTTCCAATTATACTCCTCTTTGTCAGACTTTTTAATGGTAGAATTTCAACAAGGTGGATGTCTTTAAAATCCCTTTTCATTTCTAACTAACTAAGCCCGCTGCTTACAGTCATTATTTTTTAAATTATATCTTGACTCCACACAGTATTTTTTGATACAGGTATGGAATTTTCAGCATGTGATATCGGTAGCCCAAATTCAGCAGGCCGACTATTGACATCATGTGTGCGTCGGCTGGGGATTGAACCCCGGACCATGTGCACGGTCGGCGAGCTTCCTAACCGCTGTGCATCCGAGGCATTTGTAAATGATGTTCCTGATTTCTAGAATTTGAATGCACTTTTATTATCTTTGTGTTGTGAGTTGCTTATTTAATTTATAGACAAGTTAGCTGTGTATTCAAAACAGAATGATATTAGATTACCCCAAAAATTTCGTCTTTCGCGTCATTCATTCGATAATTAAAGGTATCATAAGTTACGGTTAAGGATAAACGATTGTTAGATGGTGTGGTGTATAAACTGTAATTAAGTCAACATTTGAACATTGTATTTCCATTTGTCGGTTAAACACAATAACTTTTCAAAGGCATTGGTAATAGTATAGCCATTTTGTTTTACAAGAATACACTATGCTAATACTTTTGATCGACTAATACAGAAAACAATCGTACTGTCGACATTCCCTATGAACCTCTACTGCCAGTCAAATTATTCAAACTAGACATACATCATACACATCACAACTATCATAGGAATCTTGTTTTATTCATAATGACATCATACACTGGACGACTGAGGAGGTTTTAGCAGACGAGGTAAATCTCACTAAGCTCTAGTCTATGCATTCAGAGTTGCTTGTAAATAAAGGAAGCCACATGACAGACACAAAATGATGACTTTATGCATTACTAATATAGAACTTAACTCGAAAGTGCTTCGAGTATAGGCAGGTGTAATGAAACGATAACAGACAGAAGTGTAAGAGAAAGAGAAAAACTATACTAATAATGGGAACTTAATCAACTTGGAAGATCAGACGCAATGGGTAAATCTGGGCCAGAGTAAATGATCCTGCGCTACATTATCAACAGTCTCAAACGACTGATTCTGAAAATTTCAAAGATATAAACCAATCAGTCCAAACCTCTTTACATGTTTCAAGACACCAGTCAAAGATTTCATGGATTGATGTCACTTTCTTGTATAACTATCCCTGATCCTATATCCGTTCACATTGCCCTCTGGCTCTGCCTTACCAGCTTCATAAAATCATAGTTTGACTATCCCTACTTATTTAACACTAAGCTTAACCTCACTGTTACTGACCATATTACTATGCAGAGACCTATGATCAAAAATAGGTAACCTTTCGTAATCTTTACTTTCAACAGCTGTTTTACAGACAAGCAAACAGCTGCATAGTATACACGTCCTTTGGTGGGCAGTCAAACGTTATGTTTATGCCAGTGATGAGGCAGGCTAGCAGGTGCCAAGCGAATCTTACTCATCCCTGGTGAGAATGTTTCAGCAATCAGTTTTTTACGGATGACACATCCTTCTAAATGAATTTAGGGTTCAACGTATTCAACAATGTTACTCCTTATCTATAAACTAGCAGCAGGCGCAGACCTAGCCAGAAGTATCACCTGATATTTGACAGGTGTCGGTTTGTATGCCTGACTTTATGAAATATAGGCTCAGTCTTCAAATGTCCCTGCATTTTGTCAGCATCCCTACCTAAAAGTATGCAAACTTTATATCCTTAAGGCTTCTCCGTAATAACAGACAAATCCATGAGATATTGAAGTTCACAATGTTAACATGCATTAACGCAAACAAATTAATAACTAATCACGAATGTCTAAGTGTTATAACCCGATACTGATTAGAACCAAAAAGAAACTTGAGGAAGCGAATATACTGACAGCAATTTGTGAGCCTAACTGTTGTAAGAATAAGTTCGTTAAAATACAAAGAAATATGTCTAATCATATAGAATTATGTTTCGTATTTCTAGTTAGACATAGTTCAACCTGTCAGGACAAATATTGTCAAAAATCAACACTTCAGAGTACTAAGAAACACTGAATAGCCATTATGTGATATTTTGGGACAACTTATCGATTGGTACCAGCTATATCGGCATGCAGTACGAGTACTTTACTGTCCACCCACGTTGTAATCCACTGACGCATTAATTTTTGGCAAGCGATACCACGTCTCCACTTTTCAGTATTATCGACGAGCATCTGTCTTCATATTCAATTTATTGAACTCCACCAGTTATAATTTCTCATCAGAACATTTAGAAACCGTTCCACAGTCATTTACCAGTCAGAAGTGAAATAATTTTCAACCGATGCATATGACTAATTTCAAGGTAGGACTCATAAATCAAAAACTAGGGAGCTTTTTTAAAGTTTTAGTCGATATATCTATTGGTTTATTTAGTCTGACGAAAGCACTCTAGTTATTCAACTGATTTTCATATCATCTTTCAAGTTGTCATGTTTAATCTTTTTTTTAACAAATAATTGATTCGGAAAAAAGTAGACATAGGCTTGAGTAGTTGGACCCTACGTTAATGTATAATGATGGATTAGAAAATGTTTAGTTCGCTAACTTACGATTAGCCTTTGTGGAATCAGCAGACGTATTACTCAGTGATTGAAGATGAAATGAAAGTTTGCATTGCCGTAGGATTTGAACTATCGGCTTCCAAATTACTTCTATTTCACTTTCTCACTCAATTATTTAACTCATTTATAGATTACCCATAGGAACACGATATACTATTATTGTGCGACTAGTTATAACATAGCTCACTGTTCGAGGAAAAAACAGTCGATTAGAAAAATTCATATTTTGCATACAATCAGAGAACTGATAGGTATGGGCACATGTTTCCTAGCAGGATATCCGGGATCGAACAGGATTCAGCTGAATTATGTTTTACAAACTTTCCACCAACAAACTGTTTGTCTCACGTATTAACAGAAGAATAGTTTAAGCAGGTTTCAAACACTAGACGCACCAGACAAAAGCCATGTGCTAGAGTATAGAAACTGTTATATCACAGAGCTTCCTCTGATACCAGGATAAAGTTAGAACTCCTAAAGATGATCATTGCTGTCATACCTATTAATCATATATTGTTTCATTTGTTTCCGTAAAATCTCATAAACCACCAAACAGCAATGTCCATAGACTTCGCAAAATATGAAGCCCAATCAATCCTTTTATTCTTTGACTGACTAATGATTTCACCATTACCATATGGTTAAACTAAAAACTTGATAGAAAAATAACATAATACATAGAAAACAACCGCTAAAGTACATTTACAATTAATTTTATTCGTGATTAAACATGATTCATGTAGAAAGATTATTGGGTACAAAAAATAGGCAAATGTGTATGTGTTGTGTCTGAATTAATATCTGCTACAGACAAAACTTATTACAATTATATATATATATATATATATATATATATATATATATATATATATATATATATATATATATATATATATAGTTTGTTTACAACATGCTCAAAAGTTTGCACTTATACATCCATCTCGAACGGTGAGTCATCACCTAGAAGAACAAAAAAATTAGTGATATCAGAAATAAATAAATAAATAGAAATATAGATGTATTAAGTATAGGATCCAGGGTTTTCAATTAGATCAATGGTGTTTGTATATAATGTGGTGACTGATGTAGCTTCCAAAGTTTCAGAGCTTTTCAAAGTCTATCACTAAAGTCTACAATACTATCAACGAAAGCCGAACAATACGATATTGGGATTTAATGAAAAAGAAGCCTATTGACTTGAGCGTCATAATTGATAGTAATTGTCAGCAATGCGCATTTACAGCTGCTGATTTTCAGCATCGAAAGCTGCCTACAAAAAAAGTGGCTAGCCCTAAATTAGGGGTAGTGCTGGTTGTAATTCTATGCATCTATCTACTCCAAGGTTTTTGAGGGTAACTATTCGACTTTTAATAAATAGTTGACCATTAAGATTTAAACTTACATCCACTAGGCTATTATTCAGCAATACGTAACTACTACTGGACACTAATTGGCTTAAAACAATAGGATCATAAGGTCAGAATGTTAAAATTTAGTCTATGGATCAAGTTCCAGGGATATATTTTCACTTGTTAACTTACGACGCAGCCTGACCACTCAGCGTAATTACTTGGCAGTTATCCTCAAAACTAAATTGCTTGGGACCATTATTTTCTGACTGTCAGATTTTAACCGAATTAGTAACTGTTAGTTTAGCCACCAGTGAACTTGCAGACTTTATGAATCATTTTATCGTTTTCTTCATTGTCAGTATTATCAACAACAACGTCACTAAGTAAATGACATAATCCTGTTGATGACATACGTATGTAAAAACCTTAATATGTGCGGCTGTGTTGAAAGCTTAAGATTTAGAACTATATACTGAAGGCATTACACTCTCCCTAGCCTTTGTATTTATATGTGGGGTGATAGCTAGGACGGACAAGTTATGTCAGAAGCTCTTTGGTTTTTCAGAAATGATACAGTTTACCTAACTGATCTGCCAATCAATAAACCACTACGATTTAATAACGTCTACTGACGATAAGTCACAAGAATCATAATGGTATCTAATGTCCATCCAGCTTACATATTCTATTTATTTATTTATTTTTATTTTATTTATTTTTGATTACAGCTTGATTCCACACCGTATTTTTGGTACAAGTATGGAATTTTCAGCGTGGATATCGGTAGCCCAAAATTCGCTGGCCGACCATAGATATCATACGTGGTAATCCAAAAAAATTAGCACTTACCTTTGTTATGATCAGTTTCTTTACTCTTTGCGGGTGGAGAACTCTTTGTTTCATGACTGCTAGGCAAGTGAGTTCCTTTACCATTATTCACACTTGATGGATCTATTTCTGGTAATAATATCAAATCACGCATTGGGCTTCGAGCAACCGGTGAATTACGGCAACTGAGAATAAAATCACGTTCATACACAATACGAGTGCCGCCTGGTGTAGTACTGAACAAAGTTCCACCTGGAGTTGTACTACAAAAATGATTATAAGAAGTGGGTATATTCGTGCTGAAGGAATATAAATACAAATAAAGCTACTGAATGGATAAATACTAATAGTTCGTAGACAATTGGTGGATGGTGGCTAGCAGTGGAATCCAGGATGCGCATTTCGTCCTATTTGGGACTCGTCAGATGGATGTACCTACATTTCTCAGTGAGTGATGATGTTCCCACCGAGGCTCGAACTCAGTACCCATAGTTTCAAACGCCAAAGCGTTATCCACTAGACCACTTGGGCCACGAGAGCCACCTCTTGTGAAACGGGTCATATTAATTATTGAATTGAATTTTTGATTTTCCCGTCGATTGATTGGACCGAAGTGCTCGGTCTCAGGTTGACATGTCGTCGAAGCATCTGCACAAGAAGCCGACATGTCAACCTGAGACCGAGCACTTCGGTCCAATCAATCGACGGGAAAATCAAAAATTCAATTCAATAACTAATAGTTCATAATCAAACTACTTTTCCTGCGTAACACTCACCTGGAAATCAGTTGACCGGTATCAAGCTTCTACCAAGCTAACAATCAATTACTTTTCCACTGCATGGAAATATGCTTTGGCATTATTGTAAGAGGAAGTTATACTGCAGGATAAATAATGAATAGCTTAACAAGAAATAATTAAAGCCTCACTCTAAGAACCTAGAAAAGTAGGCTTTCAGAGCTGTATATTACAAATCGCCCAGCGGATCTCTGCCTCATTAGGCAGTCGAGAAACAGCTTTGCGAACACAAGCACTTCTAAGAGAATTGCTAACGCCTTTTTGGCCTGAAGAACCAATCAACTTTCTGGGCTGTGCACTATGAAATAATAAACTCCATGATCTAAGTATGATAATCATTTGCTATTTCCATTTTCATTTTTTTCATTAACTCTTTTTCCCAATGACTACTGTATGACATCTACAGGTTTTTAAACCTCGTACTTCAGGATATATTTGATTTCTGTGTTGATTACAAGAATCCATTTAGCAGCCGGCTATCTGCACCGGTGTTAAATATACTTTTCACACCCATTCGGATATTCGGTTCAATAATTCTTTTATCATTTCTATAGAACATTGCAGAAGAACTACAAATTCTTGCTTGTTTGCCTAGTTTCAAATCGAAAACAGGCTACCTTGAAAGTCAGAGGGTTAAACACGATGTTGCATTCAAGCTAGACGAATAGTTAAAAATTGCATGATTCCTATGTATTAGTTAAATCATGAAATTAATCGACTGTCAGGCAGTTACTTGTGACATTGACTGCATGATCGGTTGTCAAATTGATACGCAAAATAATGATTTTTACCAGTGTTAAAATATAAGTGTTGTTACTTTGGTGAAACGTTATGGGTATAAAAATCAATGGTTTAAACGTTGAGTTGGTTCTGCAAACACGCTGTTCTTTTGTTAATCACAGCTTCCGTGCCTTGTTGCACCTTTTTATTTCAGAAACTGACCATTAGGTAAAAAATTATCTTCAGCTAAGTAGGTCCATATTGTTCCTTCACCTTGTAAATCGACTAAATACTAGATCCAGATGTTTTGTAGATTTCAAAAAGGATCAAAATAATACCTGCGTTAAAAGCACATCTACGACTTCACCAAAAATACAAGTGTAATGTAGCTAAAAGTTGTCCGCTTTCTGTTGTCGTCTTTCAGTCAAATATTTTGCAACATTCATACACTCCACCTAAAGTTGTGGAAACTCTGGTACTGCGTACAGAATAGAAACCAATTGCAGAGAACAAAGCCCTCATGTTCCAGGCAATGAGCTTTGCCTTTTCAAGTATTGATTATGGTACCTAGTTACTCAGACTGAAGCTCAGAGAGGGTTTTAACCGGGAATCCACTTGCTAAAAAACCAAATGTTTACTATGCAGCGCTGCAGTTCCACTGACACACAGCCAGAGATACACGAGAATCTAATAAGAACCAATGACATAAGAACATACGCACATCTCTGAGAACCACTAAATGTAACCTTAAATGTTACTGCACCACCTTTCAAACTGGACATTGAGTTAGGAACCTTATGACTTAGAATTCCCTGAGCGAATTTAGAGTATTTTTAGGCTCCCATGAATCAGATATTTCCAAGAAAAATAAAACTTAGGTACTGAAAAGCAACAATCAATGAATGCGTAAATCAGTGGGGAAGATTTCGAGTCATTTCGACATGTTCTTAATCCACCAAACCTCCTGTGACTCGTGCATACAGTCAAAAACTTCATGGATTTATGTTTTGATCTGATTGTTCCTAAAATATTGGCAGTCTAATCCCACTTCAACCAAATTTGGTGGAAGGTGGTTCAGTATGCATAGCCAACACCTTTATCAGCTTGATCAATGACCACCCTCCACTACTCCATGAATTGTACTTACCTTCGTTGTCATTTCCTGCAAAGATTCACTAGAGCAACTGAACGAGACTCACCAGAATAAGTACCTTTATTTATTGCACATGTGTGCCAGTAGTTCAGCGACAGAAAACTAACCAACCACGACTAAGGTCTATTAAGCGCGCTCCTTGAATACGACGTGCTTTTTCCTCTCCAACCGGAAAATACCAATTCTGTGAATTATCCGTTTGGGAAACCTGATCTTCCTAGCCGGTGAATTTAATTCAACCATTACTTACATAGTAAATCTCTGTGTGGTAAGTCCAGCTGTCTCGAACTACTGCCAAAGCTTCAGGTGCTACTTTTGTAGCAGCATCTTCCTCACTCGTTCAGAGAAACAAGACTTGTTGGTCTACCACGTGATTGCCGTGAAGCCGATCATTCAGAAAGTACTAGGTAAAGTCGAAAACCTTTTCTTTTCCTTGCCTTATACTTTTTCAGTCTTATTCTTGCTCTTTTGGTTAGAAACTGTTGCTCTCTTAGACGTACATAGCATAATTTATAGTGATTGTTAATATGGTTGTTGAAAGCAGCCTTAAAAAAGCCACTAGAATACCGTACTCTGTAGTCACAAGGGCTTCAGCCAGGGAAGGAAAAAATCCAGGGATTTCAACCCCTTCCCGCATACCGATCCTAAAGACTCGTGTAGCTTTAGTCTGCCCTGATACAACGCCTGCATTGCCACAGTCTAGTACTGAAACGGCACAGGCAATACCAGAAGGACAGAATTCTACACCTGCATCAACTGTAGGCCAGTGTGTGAAACACATCAAGCCTAAAAGGAAACGTTCAAGACGTCATAAGACCTCGAAGGCGTCATCAAGGAAAGGGGATGAATGCCAGGCGTGCAGCATCACAGTTTCTAAAACTGATTCAGCGTTTGAATGTAATTTTTGCAAACGATGGGTGCACTGCCGTTGTGACAAAGAAGTACCGAAAGCATACTATGAGTTTATGAGAAATAACCCATGCCCATGGTTTTGGTACGTGTGTCCACTTTGTCGCCCTGGCATAGTCCCACAAAGCGTGTCTGCGGATAGCAGAAATAACACGCTCTTGTGCCCCAACACAGTATCATGCAGCTCCCCCCTGCTAAACTCGCACTGCCGAAACTGGTCAAAGACTTAAAGAAGGACACACCAGCCCTACTGACTGGAAATGCCAATTCTCACAAGGTGAAGATTAGCAAGGTTCCATCCACATCAGGGGAAGGCAAAATTACAAAGGCACCACTTGCATCCACTAGCAAGCCTGGCAACACAAAAAAGGCTGTCCAGGTACCGATGAAGCCTAATGTTGCTAATGATGCAAAGGACTGCAAGAAGCCGAAGGCAAAACCTAAGTCTGAGGGTAGTCGGTCTAACTCTCTCATCCTCTTTAACGTACCTGTGAGCACGGATAGCTTGCTCGAACAACGGGCCCTGTTTGATCAGGAACAGTGGTCCAACCTGTGCAGCAAACTAGGTCTGAACATTAGTTCAGCAAAACTGTGCAGACTGTACAGGGGTGTCCACACGCCTCAGGGTAAGCCACCCCCATTACGGGTTACACTGGACTCTGCCGAAGAGGCCGAAAAAGTACTGTTAATGGCTCAGGTACTAGCCCTGGACAGAAGTTCTAACATAAGAGCGCGGCAAGATAGACCATGGGCCGTCAGAAATATGGCGAGGGAGTCACCGGAACTGATGCCTTCCACCTCTATGGTGGTACACGGTGTTCCGGAGCTGGAAACCGGCACTGCTTGTGAAAAACACATGCACGACGTACAACAATGGAGATGGCTGTCATCTCAGATGGCCCCTGGCGCTTCTGGAGCCATCTCCATTTTCCGACTACCTCGTCCCGCTCATCTAACATTGATTAACTCTCCAAAGCTGCTGTGTGTCACATTCAACTCCCCGGAGCAGTTGTCCATATCACTTCAACGGTGGTATGAGACCAAGGGAAAAATTGGAGGACACATCCGATGCTGTGAAAGCAGACCCAGAAATATAAGGAGGCAGCAAACTGAGGCTTTAATACGACCCCAAGCTTCGGTGACACTAGAGCGATGCAGCTCTGAGAATAATAGTCTGTGTCTCCCAAGTGTCCTGCCTAAATCCATTGAAAAAAACTACAACGGGCCGGTTCTATCGGAATCGGCCAACTAGTTCCAACATCAAGTCCCCCACCAGCAGACGGTTTCACGTCAACTACCCCACAACACTCTGAGGTTGTTAGACTCACTGTCAGTTGCCTATATAGCAATGTGAGGGGGCTGAGAGGGAAAGTAGGTGAACTCCGAAATCTCCAAGCACACCTTCAACTGAAAATAATCATTCTTACTGAAACGTGGCTAAACCCCACTATCGCCGACAATGAAATCAGTATAGGTGATATGGTACTGGTCAGGAGAGACAGGGATAATAAGGAAGGAGGGGGAGTTGCTATATACTTTGATAGGCAACTTAAATGTGTGCGCGCAACGGACCCACCACTTATCGAACTCCCAGACTCCATATGGTGTCATTTCACCGTAGGCCACACCAAGCACTTACTGGGTGGCATCTACCGATCTCCCACCTGTGGGGCAGAGCACAATCAGCTACTGCTCAGCACTATCACAGGAATACGAGATTTGGGCTACGACCAAATCACCATAGCTGGAGATTTCAATGCTCCATCACTGAACCTCGGCTCCGGGTGTGCTAAGGGAAAATTTGGCCGAAACCTACTGCAAACTATTCGAAACACGGGACTGACTGAGAATGTTGGAGACGACACTAGGTGGGGCCCTAGTGGAAAGTCATCAAAACTAGATTATATTCTAACTAGTGACCAGCTACTCGTCGAAAAGGTCCAGATCATGACTCCTCTGGGAAGCAGTGACCATGCAGTCATAGGTTTCGATCTTGTCCTCCGTGAGCGTTTGCAATGGGATGTTACGCGACCATGTCTGTGCTACAGCAAGGCTGACTATGCTGAAATGCGGAGGCTCTTGTCCGACGCAGACTGGCCCTTAGCATGGGACGACCTATCTGTGGATGAACACTGGGAAGTGGTAAAAAAGATTATCCATACAGCAATCTCGGATACCGTCCCTTTAGTCACAACACAGCCTAAGAGAAAGACGTCATGGTTGAAGAGAGGCACGCAACGTATTCTGCAAGCAAAGCGGAAGGCTTGGTTTACGTGGCGTGTATCTAAGAGTCAGACCGACCATGATGCATACCTCGAACTCAGGAACCGGTGTAATGCAAGAGTTAGGAGGGACAGAAGGTCATTCCAGGCTAACCTTGCTAAAAAACTCCTATCAAACCCTAAAAACTTGTACCGATTCATGTCGGAAAGAAAACCGACAAACCAAGGGGCATGCGCCTTAGTAGGCCCAAACGGTCAATATCTCACTAGTCTGGAGATGGCTGAAACATTCAGTTCAGCCTTCGCTAAACAGCTAAACAGCAATGTGGATATTACAGTTACGGACCAAAATGGTGGCACCACTATTTCAGAGGAGGAAGACCTAGCGACTACTCCCCAAATAAACCCCGCAATAGTACTAAGGAAGCTACAGCGACTCATACCTGGGAAGTCCCCAGGTTGTGATGACATCAGGCCATCTGTTCTGAAACAGTGCGCCGAGGCTCTCTGTAGACCCCTGTGCGACTTGTTCCAACACTCAATGGATTCGGGGACCCTGCCAAGGGAGTGGAAAAGAGCCATCCTTTCTCCAATCTTCAAGGGTGGGGACAGGCAAAACGCTGCTAGCTATAGACCAGTAGCTCTACTCCCAGTGGTATCAAAAGTACTGGAAAGTATTATTGACGACCACATCAGGGAATATTTCGATAGGACTAATATACTACATGAAGCCCAACATGGTTTCAGAAAAGGCAGATCCTGCGTCACTAACCTACTGTCAGCTTGGGACGACTGGACATCATGCTGGGACTTGAACGTACCAGTCCATGTGGTCTTCCTAGACTTTGAGAAGGCATTTGACACTGTTCACCATGACCTTCTCCTACATAAAATAAGCCAGGCAGGCATAGGTGAGCCACTTCTGTCATGGTTGAAGGACTACCTAGCCGACAGGCAATTTTGCACTAAGGTTAACCGAGTCCGATCATCTTGGCACAGATCGTCATCAGGAGTGTCGCAGGGTTCTATCCTAGGACCACTGATGTTTTTGATTTTCATCAATGATCTACCACGCCGTCTGAGCTGCCCGACTCTCCTGTACGCTGACGACGTAAAAATATGGAGGGCGATAAAGTGTCCGGAGGACTCAGATAGGCTACAGGAAGACCTAAACCTTCTGGAAGACTGGGCGGTGGCCAGTGGCATGACTTTCAACTTGAAAAAGTGCAAAGTAGTGAAGTTGCGCACCTGTAGACTGCAGAATGCAAGTTACACCCTGTGCAATGAAAGCTTGTCCTGCACAACGTCGGAACGCGACTTAGGTCTAGTTCTAACGGAAAAAATGGACACAAGCGTAAATTACACAGGGGATGTAGCGAGGGCATATGCGGTCATACACTTTACGCATAGACAGTTAGGTGCACTCACTCCTGAGCTCTTTCTAATGTTGTACAAAACATACGTCAGGCCACACCTTGAGGTGCATAATATTATTGCACCCCCAATGCTGAGAAGAGATGCCAACCTCTTGGAAAGAGTCCAACGACGGGCAACAAAAGGAGTGGTTGGTCTCCGAAACAAACCATATGATGAAAGGCTGAAGAAATTAGGCCTGTTCACACTTAGTTACCGTCGGCTTAGGGGGGATTTGATTACTGCCTACAAAATAACAAATGACCAGAATCACCCAAACAAAGGTGTTCTGCCATTGAGTAGGTATAGGCTTCCACGTGGAAATCCCAGAAGGATAGCTCACCAGAGGGCAAGGACCCGGGTGCGCTCCCACTTCTTTTCACTGCGGGTTTGTCGTCCCTGGAATTCCTTACCGGCAGATGTAGCTATGGCACCGTCTTTGGACGCCTTTAAGCGAAGGCTGGACAACCATGCAGCGATACAAGGACTGCATCCAAATGGCCTATCTCCTTAAAATCGCATTTACCAATCAGGGTAGATAATTAAACTCGTCATTTTACTTCTTTACATTCTCTCCCGTCTTACTCTCCTGACAACTTATTAATATTATAATTACTATTATTATTATTATTACTATTACCGATATATATATTATTCTTCAAACTTAATGAGCTGACTGTTGTTACGTTTCCTATTTTCGTTTCTGTCTCTTAGTCTGAATAGCTTCACTAATTATATCTATTATTATTATTATTACTATTATTATTATTATTACTATCTCTTTTCTCTTGTCGACAATACCGAAGGACTAACTGGCGAAAGGATCAACTCCAATCACAGTAGTAACAGTCTTAACATACCTCATACTACAAACCACATATAATTAATCCCAGCACTACTCCCTTTGGAGTCAACCAAAGCTACGACAGTCGAGTGGCGGGACAAGCTACGCAGAAGTTTACCGAAGATCAAGAACCTATACCTCACAATCAAGAAGCGAGCACAAAGAAATCAAATTGGTTTATACTAGCTCGTAAAAACGATATTGGATATATTGGACTGACGAGGTCAGGGGTCGATTCCTGCCAGGCGACGCAATCCTAAGGCCAGTAAAGAGTCAAGTTAGGGGAGTGATTATCGCCACCACACCCCGTAAAAATAAACCCAATTCCATCAAATCTTCAAAGCTCAAGCTTAAAGTCATTCAATCCACAGGGAACGTAAAGGAATAAAATAAATAAATTTACTGAGAGCAAATATAACGCAAAAATATACTATTCCACAATACGTTAATTACCCGTGATCCTGTGGTATTTGCGATATGTCCTTAACAGTAACCCTTCTAACTGGTATGGGCTCAGTACTTTTCTGGTCCATACTACAACTAGTTAACGTGATATAACGAAATGCGCGGGGTGAGCTTCAAGGTCAACAGTTAACTTCTGTATCTGCTGCTTTCAACGAACCAATGAAATTTACGCGAATATACTTTTCGATGTCAAAGGTAGGCTTACGGAGTCCACTATTTCACTGTGATAATAATAATGTAATGAATCTGAGTGCTTTAGTACGTCAGACCAAGCACGGGAATAACGGAGAGACAATAAAACTAGTTCTGAATCCCCGGACTGTTGAAAGTGCTGTTATGCAAGTCTTAGAATAAAGATGGACACGTTGCATAAGGATGAGGATTCTGCAGGCTAGCGTTTACAAGTGTGTCCCAAAGATCAGATCCTTGCTAAATCACTGCATTGTTTTCTGCCTCTCTTAAAATTCCTTAGTAGAAGAAGTGCTGTTATCCTGTTACACAAGTATATTTCTAGTAGGACAGCTTATTCACTGGCTTGACTGATTGAAATCAAGCTTATTTCTCTCACCACTGATCCTGGTAGACTTACATTATGAAAATAGCCTGACTGACTGTTATACTCGGCCATCAATACATGGGAACCAGATTTCTCCGATTATTGCTTCAACTAGTGGAGGTAGAATGTTGAGCCCACTGCAATCCGTGAGATATTCGGATAGATGGGATAATAGGAAATTACCGGAACAGAACCACTGCAGAGTGCAACCATCATGCCATTATTCCTTCGAACAGCCGCCATACTTATGGTTTTAAACCCTGATATACGTATAAAACCTGGGCACTTCGGTAGAGTAATGAAGTTTTAAACCCTGTTGTATAGGAAACAAGGTACACAAGGCTGAATTATATCAAGCTTTATTTGTCTCATCAATTTTTCCTGACTGAATATTTCCTCGTCAGAATAATAAAGAATAATTCGTTTTGTTGAAGGCGTCAGCTTTATGTCGAAGGGTCATGGACGGAATGTGGTATACCCTTCTCATTGAGAACATAACAGACGGCTTGACTTAAGTGAAGTTAAGAATCATGTAAGGACGGTGTTCATTGTTCAACTCTGTAAGATTGGTGAGAATAAGTCCTGTTTTGTCGATATCCAGCCTCATCACAAGGCTGTCAATAAGTTATTCAATATAAAAGCACGGATGTCTTTCGAAAAAGGAACTTTCAGTCTCTTTTTTCCGGAGTTTCTTCATCGCTGCTAACTTTTTGGTTATGGCAGGGAGATTAGCCATGATTTGCCTGGAAATGACCTCACCACATCAGGACATTTCTAACATAACACTTTGGTGGTAAATAGTTTTCCGAATTATCGGAGCGCATCATCCCTCACTCAAAATTATATGCTGACGTTCACCGTTAACTCATTAAGCTAAAGGCTCGCCGTCAGTCATTCAAGCTATATTCATGCCCCCGGATAATGTCCTATTACTCGTGCACCATCCTTAGCTGAATTTGATGATGCATAGACGGCTGAACATCGCATGATATTATGCTAGACAGTGTCACTACCAGACCGCTTACCTTCAGCCCAACAAGTCTGTTGCGACAATAATTGTAGACTGTGAATTCTGAATAGTGTTGCAATTATTAACTTGGAGAGTTCTTACCAATAAGGTGCTCATTATAGTCAAACTTTGCATTCATCGAATCGTTTGTGAGAAATATTCCAAGAAACAAGTAATTTAGGCTGGTTGGGCGATTTCGAGGTCGATGCCAGTTGGTTTCGACCACAAATAATTCGCACGACTGATGTATGGCTATTTAACCTGCTAGACCTGAACTCTGACCCACCTAACCTTTTAACCAGGCTGTCCCTAACACCGTTCCAACTAGTAAGCTGGGAATGTGACACCTAAGACCGCTTATTGAAGATGAATTGGAGAGCGAGTGGAGATACACAATCTCACTACAACATAGCGGCTGGGCTCTTTTCCCTTGAAAATCCAATAATTCACTCTGTTTTTCGATCTGCATACACTAACAAATTCATCGTTGGAAGTTCTGCTGAACTGACGAAATTCTCCGATACCCTACAACTACACCCACTCGTCTTATATCAATAGTTTGGTTTCCTTGAAAAATGCAACCCATTACTTTCGAGTTACTTGCCGAGCATCACCGCTTTTTTTCAGGTGTTATACAATTTACCGTTCATATCTGCTATGACTGGCACGCGCCAATCGAGTATCTCACTTATGACAATGCAATTTTTCACAAATACACTATGATAATTTTACTTCTTTTTGGTTGACAGCTACTAAAAATTAGACTGAAGTGTTTTATTTATATAAGAATAGAATACGGGTAATGTAAAAAGAATGATTTCAAATCATAAGGACCAATAATTTGTACTCTAAAGGTCAACAGTAAATAATATTGTACAGTGTTTTATATCGGATAGAATTACTCTATGTTTGGGCCATACTTTTCTATATTAGCATGTTGCGATGACTCGGGCCTTCACACGAGTATTATTTGCGTCGGTGGCACAGTGGTTAGGATTCTCGCCGACCATGCACAGGGTCCGGTGTTCGAGCCCTCGCCGACGCACACCTGATATCTACGGTCGGCCTGCGAATTTTGGGCTACCGATATCCGCTCTGAAAATTCCATACTTGTACCAAAAATACGGTGTGGAATCAAGCTGTAATCAAAAAATTATTTATTGTGATTGAGAAAACTAACTCACTTTGAGCAAAATTAGGGTGATGAGAATGACTTTTCATAGGCTGAGGGTGTCGATATTCACAAACGGTACGAAGTATACTAACGCAAGATTTTATATCCACAACTTCTATAGTATTCGTTCCGCGCAGACCAAAAGGAAAGCGAAACACCAGAATTGATCGTCCAAATTATGAATTATATTTCGGTACCAAATTGGAGTACGAGATGACTGCTTAACCGCATAACTGCCAGGGACCTCCAGAAAATTAACCACACTAGTCTGGCTGGGTATCTAAACACTCTTCTGCTGACATCTTTTCTACCTTCACCACTGTCAGCTTCCAGAGTCACCTTCATCCCCAAGACATCACACCCGGATAACCCTACTGACTTCCGGCCTATCTCCATAACTTCTGCCGTTACGCGCTGCCTACACAAGATTATCGGCAAGCGCTGGTCCAGATCATTCCCAATGGAAAAACTACAGTTTGCCTTCCTGCAACGTGATGGCTGCTTCGAAGCGACCAATCTTCTTCACGCCATCTTGGGAGAAGCGCACTCCAACCATACAAGTTGCGCAATAGCTATTCTCGACACTTCGAAAGCTTTCGATAGCGTCCTACATCAAACAATTTTAAGGGTGGCTGGAAGTTTTGGTGCGCCATCAACGCTTAGAGAATATCTTACAAACTGCTATTCCAACTCCTACAGTCTCTTCCACGAAGTGAAGTGTCATCCAACACGGGGGGTTAAACAGGGTGACCCTCTATCACCGCTTCTCTTCATCATGACTATGGATGAGATACTCACTGTTCTTGAATCCCATGACCCCATCTACGTTGATGGCCATCCTTTACACTACATAGCATATGCTGATGATCTCATCATCCTAGCTCCAAACGCTGCAGCTCTCTAAAACAAACTCAGCTATATCACCGCCTCGCTGGAACTTGCAGGATTATTGATCAACGTCAACAAAAGCCGTACAATCAACATAGTCGCTGACAGACAGCGTAAAATCATGGTTCTTTCTCCAACTATCTTCAATATCAACTGCCAGCCAATTCCAGCCATCTCGCCAACAGAGGAATTTACCTATCTGGGCGTTCCCTTCAAATACAAAGGCAGGTGCTGCTTCGATCATGTGGGCGTCCTCAATGGATACTTAAAGGTTGACGGATATCTCATTCAGCAACTCCCAATTAATTTATTCTCGCGTACCAAAGACAAAGCAAAAGCCAATAACTGATCGTCCAAACCAAGTGATATATTTCGGGACCAAAACAAGCCGTCAGACGAACGCTAGTGATCGTGCACGTGACACGACGAGGTACCAAATGGCGGGGATGCTTGACCGGAAGCCTTCAGCTAAACAAGTCGACTTAAACAGTGGTGGTCAGCATCCAATGAGTGATTGCTGTGGTCAATGATTTTGGGGAATTATTTACCGCTACAGATACTTAGACAATGTGAAACGCGCTCCCCTCAAATCTCATCAACGAATCAGAATTGTGAAGAAAAATCTGATTCCTCGTCTACTCTACTCACTGACTCTCAGCATTACTCACAAGAATACCCTGAAAACTATGGACAAACGTATTCGTGCAGCTGTCCGCCAATGGCTTCACCTCCCGAAGGACACTCCAACTGCATTTTTCCATGCTGATATCAAAAAGGGAGGCCTGGGAATCATGAATCTCTAAACAACGATTCCAAGCCATAGGCGCAAAAGAATCGAGGCACTGCTCAACAATAGAAATCCTCTCATACGCAGCATAGCATCCTCCGCCACCTTCACGCCTTTTCTTGGAATCTGTAATCTTCCGATGCAAGCCCACAGGCAAATAGTAACATCTGCAGAAGAAGCACATGAAAGCTGGGCACAACAGCTACACACATCAGCGGATGGTTATGGTTTGACGGAATCAACAACATGTCCCGAATCTCACAAATGGCTTCTCAATCCTGAAATGGTCTTACCCAAACTCCATGTACGGGCGTACTGCGTGGAGGTCTTTTGGGCACAAAAACGAGAAATGCGCGGGGACGTCCTAGAGTCGACATCAACTGCAAAGGAGGGTGTGATCAACCGGAAAATCTTCAACACATTCTTCAGCATTGTGCTCTTACTCATGAGTTCAGATGCAAGAGACACAACGATGTCCTCAAGCTGATCGCCAACAAACTCCGCAGATCCAATATCAGATTTTACATCGAGCCACGTGTTCCAACGCCCACGTCTTTCTGTCAACCAGATATGATTATCCTGTTAGACGGTGTGGCATACATTCTCGACGTAACAGTCTGCAGCTATGTCTACATTTACATCAGTCATGCATCTAAGATGTCAAAATACGGAGCTCCAACGATGGTTGCCGCATGTAAACGATTCCTGTCCACAATGGGACATACAGTTCAAAGAATCATGCAAATTCCTGTTGTAATCTCTTATCGAGGGATAATCAGTCAACTCTCTGCAAAATACCTTCGCAGACTCTTTTTCACCTCCTTCGACATTTCAGGCCTCTGCATCTCAACCATTCAAGGCTCTTTGAAAATCTATGATACTTACATGCGTGGAACGTATGGACTCAGACGTAGAAAAGA